AGAGGAAATGAAGCAATTTGCTTCACAGATTAAATCAGAAATTAAATCTGATCTTAAAGAAGAGATAACGGGGATAAAGACTAAATTGGAAGAAAATAATAATGATTTGCGACAAGACATACTTGCAGCAGTTTCAGGTTTGGCTACTGTGGTGGTTAAGCTCGATGCAAGGCTTGAGGAAGTGGAAAACAAAGTTGATTCTTTTGATGATAAAATTCAAGATGTGGAAAGGAAGGTGGAGTCCTCACAAGAAGATATCTTGATGTTTCAGTACAGACAGATGGAGTATGCCCTGAGGATTAGAGGCCTCAAGGAAGATATGAATCAAGATTTGGTGGAGGTGGTCCTTACTGATCTGGCGGTGGCCTTGGATATGGATAAAGGAGAATTACATAGAGAAGTGGAAAAAATTTATAGACTCAATTCTTGGATTGCTAAGCAGAAGAATTTGCCTAGAGATGTGGTGATTTATTTTACAAAGAAGTCCCTGCGGAATGAGATTATACAAGCCTTTTACAACAAAAGATTTCAGATTGCTGCCCAAGATGTTATCATTCTAAAGGAAATCCCATCCAAAATTTTAAGAAGCAGGAAAGACTTCGCTTTTTTAACCAATGAGCTTAAAGCCAGATTGATGCCATTTAGATGGGAAATTCCGATGGGTATTGTCTTGAGCCATGCGGGGACACGCTACAGATTGAATACAGTTGACAAAGCTAGAGAGTTTTATACTTCGGTCCTGGGTGCAGGCTCAACTCCATCTGGTCAGAAATCTCCGAGTGGTAAGGAAGTCGAGCAGCAATCTGAGGCATTAGGTTTGGTTTCCGCTGGAATGATACAAGCTGAAAGGCAACGCCAGATGGAGGTTAAAGAGCAGAGGATGACTCGTGCAGCTTATAAGCGTAAAGAGAAGGAGCAACGTAAAAAAGAGCCCAAAGAGAATTCTTCTGGAAATGCATCACCGCCGGTGGGAGGAGCAAGACCCAAGAGTTATGCAACACATGCAGCTCTTTCAGATCTTGATGGTGTCTTCTCCAGGCTGCGTGCCAAGGGAGATGGCAAAGTTTTTGACCTGGAATGTTAATGGATTGAATTCTCCTCAGAAACGGAAAAAAATCTTTTATTATTTGAAGCAACATACCAATGACGTTATTTGCTTACAGGAAACTCATATCTTACTTAAAGATCAGAAATATTTAGTCAATGCTCGTTTGGGATCTCATTTTATATCTTCTGCTCCTGGGAAGAAAGGGGGAGTTGTTATATATGTTAAACAAAATCTACCAGCTTGTCTGGTAGAATCAGATCCCCAGGGGAGATATGTGATGATTGAATTTGGTATATATGGTAAGAAAGTACTCATAGTGGGACTTTATGCTCCAAATCAACAACAGGAACAATTTTATAAGCAGTTACATCAAAAAATAACATTGCTTGACTATAGATCAGTGGTATTAATGGGTGATTGGAATGGTGTCTTAGATATACAAAGGGACAAGAAAGGTTCCTCTCCTTTTCTTAAACAAGCAAGGTTACCTAAAGCTTTTTTTGATATGAAGGAAGACTGGGAATTAAGGGATTATTGGCGGGAATGTAATCAAGAGGAGAGATATTTCACTTTTTTTTCTGATAGACACCAATCTTTTTCAAGAATTGACTTTTTTTTATTACTACGGATTTGTATAATAAAGTAAAGAATGTAAAGATTTTTCCTAGATCACTGACAGACCATAGCCCAGTTTGGATGGAACTGACTCAAGAGAAAGAGGAAAGGAGATCCTGGAGAGCTAATGAAAATTTGTTTAGACAAGAGAAGAATGTTCAAAAGTTAAAGGAGTGTTTAAAGGACTATTTTGTTTTGAATATGTATAAGGGGACTTCAATGTCAATGGTATGGGATGCAGGTAAAGCATTTATGCGTGGTGTCTTGATAAAAATGAATAATTGTCATAAGCGGAAGCAGATTCAGAAACGTAGAGAACTTGAAGACGAAATTAAATTAAAAGAAAGGGCCTTGATTCTAAATCCTTCTGATGAAAGTATTAAAGAATCTGTAAAGTTATTAAGGTCACAATTTAATATGTTGATAGCAGATCAAGCTGCAACTAATTTATTGTTTATGAAACAAAATACATTTTGTAATGCTAATAAGCCTGGGAGATGGTTGGCTTATCAATTAAGAAAGAAACAGAGACAGAGAATAATAGAGAAAATAAATTACAAGGGTAAATTAGTTTTTCAGAAGGAATTGATCAAAAAATCTTTTTTGGATTATTATCAAAAGTTATACAAATCTACTAACGTGCAACTGCTAGATATAAATAAATATCTAGCTGAGGCAAGTTTTCCCAAACTGACTGAGGATCAGAAACATGAAATTAATGGCTTAATTACTAAGGAGGAAATTGCCTCAGCAATTCAACAATTGAAACTAGGGAAAGCACCGGGTACGGATGGGTTAACAGCTGTTTATTATAAAGCTTTAATGGAGGAGATGATCCAACCATTAAATGATCTTTTTAATGGTATCTTACAGGGTTTAGAGATTCCTCCTTCATGGCGTAGTGCTTTTATATCATTGATTCCAAAGGAGGATCAAGATCTTACTTTACCAAAAAATTATAGGCCTATATCTCTTTTAAATGTGGATTATAAGATATTTGTAAAAATTTTGGTAAATAGGCTTATGAGGGTGGTGCATCATCTTGTGCATAAAGATCAATCAGGGTTTATAACTGGAAGGTATATGAAAAATAATGTTAGACAAATTATTAATCTATTAGAATATTTAGACAAGAACAACCAAGTTCCTGCAGGGCTCATATTTTTAGATGCTGAAAAAGCATTTGATCAATTGAATTGGCATTTTATGCTAAGAGTAATGGAAGAAATGAATTTTGGCGAAAAGATATTACAAGCCCTTACGGTAATATATCAAAAACAAACGGCACAACTTATTGTTAATGGAGGTTTGTCGGAGGTTTTTACAATAGAGAAAGGTACTAGACAGGGGTGCCCTTTATCGCCATTGTTGTTTGTTTTAACATTGGAAATATTATTGATCAAAATTCGAGAGTCTCAGGAAATTAAAGGAATAGAAGTTAACAAAAAAGAATATAAGTTGAGAGCTTTTGCGGATGACTTGGTTGTTACTTTGTCGCAACCTGATTCACTCTGTAGTAAACTTATTACAGTTGATTCATTATTATGGTTTGGTTTCGGGTTTCAAGATTAATGTAAATAAGACTAAAATTTTACCTAAAAATATGTCTAGTCAGGAGAAGCAGATTTTGGCTAACTTGACGGGTTTTGAGATTGTTAATAAGGTAAAATATTTGGGGGTGATGTTGTCTGTTTCTAATGTAAAATTATTTAAAAATAACTATGAAAGGTTGTGGGTCAGGGTACAGAAGGACTTGAAGAATTGGGAGAAGTTGCAATTATCCCTCATGGGAAGAATTGCAGTGATAAAAATGAATATTCTACCCAAGTTTCTTTTTTTGTTTCAAATGTTACCGATTTTGAAAAATGAGATTAACTTAAGTGAGTGGCAGAAGGGTCTTAATAAATTTATTTGGGCAGGGAAAAAGCCAAGGGTTAAGTTTAAAATTATGCAAGACTTCCGTGAGAGGGGTGGACTCAAGGTACCAAATTTGAAATTATATTACGATGCGGTGGTTTTAACACTAATTAGTGATTGGGTAAATTTGACAAATCCTGAGATACTTCATTTAGAGGGATGGGATTTACTTTATGGGTGGCATGCCTATTTAATATTTAATAAAAAAATGGATTGGGTCTTTAAATCTCATATTTTAAGAATCTCTTTACTTAGGACTTGGAGAAAATATTATAAAAGTGATTTTAAAGTTCCATTATGGGCCATACCTTGGCATGCGATAGAAGGCATAAAAAGAGGTGTAAAAATGGATATGGTGTCTTATAGTCAGCTACTTAGATGGGATGGGCAAAACTGGCAGTTAAGATTACGGGAAGATTTAGCGCAAGAAAATATTATTTATTCTTGGTTCCAATATAGGCAACTAGTAGATAAATGGAAGGTGGATTGTAAATTGGGTTTTCTTAGAGAAGATGGAAATCTTATTAAGCAAGTCAAGGATCAAAGACAAACCCACATCAAGAGAATCTATGGGGTATTAGTTGAATTGGATTCAGAAACGGAATTAATTAAAGACTGCATGATTAGATGGGCGCAGAATTTTGGTGTCCCAGTCTCATTGGACATCTGGGAAACCATTTGGGTGAGAAATGTCAAATTTACACAAGCACAGAACCTTAGGGAGAATTTTTATAAAATGTTTTATAGGGAGAGATCCACTTTTATTCACAATGAAAAGGGAAGAAATGGTAGGACTTTCATTCTGGTATAACAACATTTATTTATGTGTTTATTAAATGTATTTGTGGTCTATCTCACTGTGAGGCTACTCTATTTCTACAACTGTAAAAACAAATGAAAAGTAGTGTAAACATAGCAGTAGCAAAATAATGGAACAATGGAATAAACAATGAAAAAGAAAACAATGAGAATACAGCAAAATGAGAATAGAAGATGGGTGGGTGGGGAAGCAGGGAGCGAGATGGGGTTTGGTATTAAACTATCAAAGGTGCTAATAGCCACCTCCAATATAGTACTCCCCTTCTGAGTCCCCAGGCCAACTGGCAGAGCCAGATCTTCAGGCTCTTATTTACAATGCTGCACAGTTGATGTCCAGGTTTGCTTGGAGCAATCAGCAAGTTCTTTCATAGATCTAGAGTTAATAATAAAAGTTTCTATCTGGATTTAGTCCAGACTGCTGGAGAGAAGATACATCCTTTCCCCTCAGTTTGCAACTTGGATGAAAAGAGAATGGACCAAGAAGGCAAACATCTCTGCAGAAAACTTTTGCCAACAACTGGATAGACTACATTTTCTTTTACTCTAATGCAGACTCTTTATCTTGCTGAAGATGTACATTTAATGCATGTTTTCCTTTCAGTTCCCCTTATGTGATGGGTCTCATACAAAACATAATGATGAAACGGGTGACAACGTGGGACCTCTAATCATCAAGAGGAAAGACGTGTGAACAGCAGATAGCTGATACACCATCAATACGATATTGTTGTGTTTTCTGCTCACCAGTGATTGGTGTGAAAGAAGATATTAATTTCACCGAAGATGTTTAGATGTGGTATACAATACACTGCAGCACCTGTAGTTCATGTTGCTTACTTAAAACACTACAATGTGTATGTTAGAAACAATACCTGTGACTTGCTGATTTTTTTGTCTTGTTAAATGCACATTCTCATTAAGTGTAAAAAATAAAAACCCTTTAGAAGGTACTTGAAACAATGGAGATGATACATTAAATTATTTTCAAATACATTGTGTTCCCCTAAATTGTCCTTGCCAAGAGTCATGAGATTAAACTATATTTTTGTCAATCTCTAAATAATATCCAGCTTTCTGCCTTTTAAAAAAACAGATATGCAGCATGCAAGGCATCCAAAAGACCAAAATGTATACATTTTAAGTATGCAGAAACATTGCAGTTGAAAAGTATTCCGCACAACATTGGCAGGCACACAGCTTACTGCCTTATGTATCTCTTCTTGCATATCTGTGGCAGGGTAGAATGTCTGGCTGGAGGTAAGTGGCTGGGTCTGTGCAAAGATCATGAACTGTTTTAGAAAAGGCAGATGACTGCATAAGCCCAAGAATGTGTCAGAAAAGCGGAAAATGCTAGAATGCACCTGTTAATTGGCACATGCTTTAGAAAAAGCAGGAAGTGCGTTATATTTCAGATGCTGTAGGACATGCTACTGGAGAGGACATCACCCTATTCATGTGGAATGAAACAGAAAAACAACCCAATCTGTCAAGTTCAGAATTACACCCCCTGGGATATGAAAGAAGACCAGGTGGCTTGTGCGAGTATGGAAAGATATAGAGGATCAACTGGACTGAATATGCAGAGATTCAGATGCTGAACAGTAGAACTTTGTGAATTAAAAGCTTTAGTAGGAAGACAGCAAGGAAAAAAACTGAAGGGACATTCCAGCGCCACTAACTGGTATAGGAGTGGAAGAAGAAAGCATACTTTATATACTTGTGGATAAGCTGAGGATTTTAGATGCCAAAATGCACCCCAATAATTGGGCTTATCTTATGTGTGGATGGGCTTGTGAGAATATAGTGTGTGGTAATACTTTTTTAACCAAGTTTTTAACCAGAATACCATGAAAAATGTGGGTCAACGTATACATGGATGGCATGTTTTTCATGGTATTTTGGTTAAAAAATTGAGGGCCAATTTATCCTTTAACAGGCTTATTAAGCAAGTATATATGGTAATTACAAACAAAGTGAGAGAGATGAAACAGGACTATTAAGAAGGTTGCAACTTGATTTGTGTGTATTTCTTATTCTAACCAGATATAGAAAAACATACTGGTTTTGCAAATAATGTTTTCACTTGTATAAATTACTAGATCACACTGCATTAAGGTTTAGTACCCTGAACAAAATCCCTCATTTGTTTAATAATAGGCTCTGGGTGTGTCTATATTAGTTCCTATCCTGATCCACTCTCTGACAATATTGACTCCTTGAGCAGTAAACCAATATTCCAAGTTCTGCTACCTCAGCTGGTTAGGAACCAGAATGCCTGGTTTTCTGTCCTTAATGGTAGTAATAAACCAATAAAACAATTCTACATTGTTTACTGGCTAGTGTATTACACTATGAAGTAAAGCAGTTCTGTCCAGTTTTGGGGGAGGAGAAGAATATTGGGAGGGAGTCCTTTGAAAAAAGAGATAGCTGGAGTCCTAAATGAAGAGCTTACTTCAGGCAAATTGAATTATTTAGCTACAGAGTGGTTAGAATTGTATTAGGGTTTTTTTAAAATTAGAGTGGCTTTTTTAGTATTTTTATCTTTTTAAAGTGCTCTTGTGTATCCTCTTTTGGTACCTTTAATAAAGTTGAATTTTGCTTAAATCCTGGGATTGACTATTTGCCCTCTATCATCCACCTCAGCCTGGCTAAACTATTGACTCCCACATTTTTTGTACGGCTTCTCTTCCTGTATTTAGCCAGACCTGAGGTGACCCAGGTAGTGTGGAAGGAAAAAGGGGTTGTGGTGAAGGCAGGGGGGCTAGGAGCAAGGATATCTAATTTTCTAATCGCTGTTCACCCACAGGTGCTGAAATACCTCAGGAGAAGCAGATTCAACCCCTGAGGAAACTTTTTCCTTATTACAAGGGATTGTATTGCATTCCAAAACATAATAAGCTTTTAAAATTGATATTCCGTATGCAGATATTGATACCAGCTGTACCTATTGTAGTTCTGAGTTGCAAGTGATGTTCCTCTGTGGCATTTAGCTAAATTACACTGAGTATTGTAGGTAATGTAAATGCACTCTTTTTTTCACTAGAGAGAATGGAAAATCTTACACTATTTGCATCATTCTAAAGTATAATCCCTAATCTTACACTACTTGCATCATTCTCCATCATGTAGAGGAATGTAGAATCCACGAATGGGTTGATTTTGTCTTCTAGCCCAATCAGACCAAACAATCAAAGTTACCACGCCTCTGCAGGGTCTGACCATGCCTCAGTTTCGTTTGGTCTCAGCCCTGAAGAGACGTGAGAATTTGGCTCCCAATTTAGATTCAGAAAGGTAGTTATAGCCATTTGTGGATTCTCTACCCTTTTTTTCCTTCTTTGGGGGGGGGGATTGGTTCAGCTCTGGGCTCAGTGCTGCTTTTTTTTTCTTTAATCAATTCCCTTCTCCGTTGAGTTTTTCAGAGGCAGACAGCTGATCGTCGATCGCTGCCTCATTACAATCCACCCCCCCACCCCCTCCCAGGATCTTCGCTGTGAATGCGAAGCTTTAAACCAGTGCTTCTCAACCTGTGGGTCGAGACCCCATTTGGGGTCGAACGACCATTTCACGGGGGTCGCCAAACAACGCAGTCTGCCATTTTTTTCCCCTTTTCCTTAGCTGTGCTACTCCCTTTTATTCTATTGGCTTTTGAAAGCCAATAGAATAGACTCTCTTGAATAGAGTCTAATTCTATTGGCTTTCAAAAGCCAATAGGAATTGTCCTGGCTGTCTCTGCCCTGCTGAGCCCGCCAAAAGTCCCATTCTGCAAACGGTGCTGCATCAGTTGAGTAGTCTTCGACTTACAACCAGTTGAGTAGTCCTCGACTTACGACCAGTTGGGGGTCGCAGCATTAAAAAGGTTGAGAACCACTGCTTTAAACTGAAAACTCTGAATTCACCTTCCTGGGCTCATTACCAATTCAAACAACCTGCGGGCGCCATTTTGAGCCTCTAGAAGGCTCAATCCTCACATTACTCAAGTACTTCCTTGTTACTGTTGATTGTCAGCTGTAAATTACAGTACCTAAACCACAGGTGAACTGTTTGACTAAAAGAACTTATTACCAGCTTACTTGCAGAAGAGGATCTTTTCTCTCAGCTTGTTTTATCTCTCATTAGATCGTTGCGGCCGCCATTTTGGGCTCCACCCGACCGTACACATTAAATTGACTGCTTTGACCTAATTACAGCCTTCTCTGTCACAAAGCAACTTACTTATTTGGTGAGTCTCCCTACGTGTGTGTGTGGGGGGGGGGAAATAGGAGTCTTAGATCTTCATTACCTCGTGCTTCAGCTGCTTGATAGGCACCATCTTAGGTTACCTAGTGGACATAGGGAAAATACCTTGAGTCTCTCACTCCATTTTATCTGGTAATATTCCAGACTGTGTGACTTACCAGTATCTTTCAAATATCCAGTGCCAACAGATTGGACTGCTGCTTGCCTTGCCTGTTTTCCGCTGTCTGCATAGTGGTTGGCACTTATTGTCCTAGCCGCCACTAAGTGAGACACGAGGGTCAAAAAAAATTTAAAATTAATTAAAATAAAACAATTAAAATAAACAAGGTATATATCTATATTCATGTATAGACTTATCTTTAATTGACATTTGATACTTTTTTGGCCAAATTGTCTCTATTACAGTGGGTCTGAAAAATTGAACGGGGAGGACAGCCCCTGAGCGTAGCACGGCTTATATCGCGTAGTGACTCCATGCTTAATGGCGGGCCGGACCTCACAGACCCTCGTGCAGACCTGTACCACCCAGGTGGGCCATGGCCTTCCTTTCTCCTGCAGACCAGGGCCGATCCAGGGATCTCCTGGTGAAAACCTGCCCTTTCTTCTCCTGCAGAACAGGACTGATCCAGGGATCTCCTGGTGAAAACCTGTTGTTTCTTTCCTATTGTTTATTTCAATATGGTGGATAACACCGTTTTACAGGCTTTCACATCCAGTGGAAATGTAAAACACAAGCCATCCAGTCAGGATACACCTGCAAAAGCCAAGGCCAAGGTCAAACAGACCTCTAAGGCCGATGACAAGCAAGCAGATAGCAGACGTAGGGCACTGGAGCGACAATTCTCCAAAGCCCAGCGACAGGCAGGAGAGACGCAGCTTATCCCCTCCCCTCCTCTTGCATCCACATCAGGGGAGCATCGACCTTCCTCTTTTACATGGGCTTGGTCTCCCGAGCAGACCCGGGACCAGGGTTCTTTGCTGGGATATGAACGGGATCATCTGTCCCTCTTTGACCGAGAATTGAGATTACAGGTCCAAGATTCCATTCCAGCTGCTGAGCCAGGACCTTCCTCAGTGTCTTGTGGGTCTTGGGGAGGTTACTACAGTCGTCCCTCCCCCAATCCCGTCAGCATCTTTCACGCCGGCAGCGGCAGGTCTTCGGGGACCCGAACATCCTTCATTTACTGTCCAGCTCCAAGCCATGATCTCACAGGCAGTGGCTCAGGCGATGGCGGCTTCAGGGAGGGCCATTCCAGCCCAAGGACTGTCAAATCCCCCTACGCTCACGGAAACTATGCATCCCAGGGAGTATGTGATCTCAGTTCATGGTTCTCCACTTCAGTCTGAAGGGAGTGAGATAATCGGATTATACCGCACAGATTCTGGAAGAAGGCAAGTGGTTAGATGGGGAAGACATTCAGGCGGAGGCCACTCCTATGGTAGGGGTGTTTAATCCAAATTCCTTCTATTCTCTTTTACAAAAGGCCTATGTCACCGGAAAAATTGAACCGGTGAAACTACAGACGACCGATCAGGACTCTGGACAGAGTTCTGACCCACTGTTTCTGGAACCTACAGATACCTTGTCCCCCCATGTTTCTCAAATCCATTCAGGATCCGTGGGGATCTCCTGGAAGTTTCTCTGCTCTAGGGGGATTAGATTGTAAGCTCTTAGATACGGTCCCTTCCCTCAACGATGTCCTCGAAGTTCCGGGTGTAGACGAGGCTCTCGCCCCCATACTGTCAGACACCAAAATCCCAGGAGATATGTCGGAGGCCCTTAAGGCTGAGGACAAGAAGTTTGAGATTTCCCTCAAAAGGACCCATCAGGCATCGGCTTGGGCTATAAGGGCCTCAACATCTAACTCCTTCTTTGCCAGAATCGCATTAATCTGGCTCAGGGAATTACAAGCCAGAATATCCCCAGACGAAGTAAGGGTTCACCAGGATATCACTAAACTAAGGGCCGCACTGGAATACATGGCGGATGTGTCTCTGCAATCGGCCAAATATTCGGCTCGGGCCATAGCTTCCAACGTGGCCACACACCGGTTATTCTGGCTAAAAAATTGGAAGGCCGATACCAGGCACAAATGGAGAGTAGCTGCGGCACCATATCAAAAGGGTCGCCTTTTTGGAGAGGCTCTCACTCCTTACCTGACTGAAAACAAAGAAAAGTTGAAGGTACTAGCTCATATTGTCAAAAAAACAGGCAGACGTTTTTCTCCATACAACCGGCGTCCGTCGTTTAAGTCTGGCTCAGACTGAACTACCTGGAGTGGGTATTGACCCTTTCAAGCAGGGCCGGACCGCTCATCAGACCGGTCCGGCTACAGAGATAAGCCAGCGCCACAATTCCAAACTAAGCGGCCCTTTCGTGGCAGAGGAGGTCGTCCTTTCCGAAAGTCAAAGTGACTTGAGGCGGATTCCCCCCATTGGCGGAAGACTGGCACTATACTTCCACAAATGGGAAAGCACCACCATGGACAATTGGGTTCTAACCACTATCAGAGACGGACTGTCTCTGGAGTTCCTCATACTCCTCCCTCGGCGCTTCATCTGCCCCCTATCCCGAAATCCCGTGAAACAAGGTCTCATGGAGGAGGCCATTCGTCATCTGTTAAGCATAGAGGCAATAGAGCGGGTACCCCCAGATCAATGGGGACTAGGTTTCTACTCCATCCTATTCGTGGTACCAAAGGCTTTGGGAGGATGGAGGGTGATCCGAGACCTCAAGGTTCTAAATTGGTACCTAATTTACCAAAAATTCAAGATGCAAACTCTTCCTTCTATTCTGGGCAGTATTCGGCCAGGTGACGTTCTTACATCCATAGATCTGACAGAAGCTTACCTGCACGTTCCCATACATCCAAATCACAGGCCGTTTCTCAGATTGAGGGATTCCAACCATCACTATCAGTACAGGGCCCTGCCATTCGGCCTATCGTCAGCTCCAAGGGTTTTCACCAAAATCCTGGCAGTTCTCGCCGCACAGCTCAGGTTGGTACCAGTCCGTGTTCAGTGCTACTTGGACGATATTCTAATCCAGTCATCCTCGGCACTGAACGCCTGATCAGACGTGGCACTGACGATCAAGACACTCCAGGATCATGGATTTATGATCAACTTCCCAAAGAGTCATCTGATCCCAGCAAACCGTTTGCTCCACTTAGGCGCAACAATAGACACCAACCAGTGCCGAGTTTTCCTGTCTCAGGAGCGTCAGCTCGGCATACGTATGATGGTCACCAGGGTGCGCAAGGAGAAACGTGTAACCCTGCTCCTACTGTCACAGCTGTTAGGGAAGCTGATCTCATGTATTGCCATAGTGCCTTGGGCCAGGCTTCATACAAGACAGTTGCAGTGGTTTCTACTCCCTTCCCAGAAACAGGGTGTAGCATGTTTTCCACAGAGTGTGCGAGTCCCACCATAGACACGTCCCTCATTTGGTGGTTGTCCCCAGCATTGTCCAAAGGATCCTTGTTCAGAGAACCGACTCGGGTAATCTTGACCACAGACGCCAGTCTGTTTGGATGGGGGCACATCTGCAATCCCAATTCGCCCAGGGGTGGTGGTCTCAACGGGATCTCAAGAAAAATATCAATTGGTTAGAGCTCAGAGCCATACACCTAGCACTTCGCCATTTCCACAAGAAGTTGGCGGGCCGCCACGTGCTGGTTCTGACAGACAACGTGGTGGCAAAGACCCATGTCAACAGGCAGGGCGGCACTCGATCGCAGATTCTAATGTCCGAGGCCCAGTGTCTGGGGTCATGGGCGGAACAGAATCTGTTGTCCCTAAAGGCGGAACACATCTCGGGTGGAAAACGACCAGACAGATTTTCTGTCTACGATAGATCATTCGGAGTGGCGTCTACATTCCCGTCTCTTTCGGGAGATAACTCACCATTTCAGTTGGCCCAAAGTCGACCTGTTTGCATCCCCGACGAACGCCCAGCTTCCCCGGTTTCTATCTCGGTATCTATCCCAGGGTTTGGAGGGAGCAGATGCCCTCCGCAGCCCTTGGCCGGCGGGCCTTCTATATGCATTTCCACCCCTTCCCTTGATCCTGGCTGTCATCAGGAAGCTGTTACAGGAATGGGCAGAGCTAATCCTTGTGGCCCCATATTGGCCGAGGCGTCCATGGTTTGCGGATCTCGTGAACCTTGCCGTAGCCCCCCCTTGGCAAATCCCTCAGAGGATAATTCTAACGCAGGGGGCCATACGCCACCCGGACCCACAGTGGCTACAACTAGCCGCCTGGCATCTGAGCGCCAGTTCCTGATGTGTGGATCTTACTCTTCAAGGGTGATAGCTATGATCCAACTTCCAGATGGCCGGCGACGAACCGGATCTATGATGCCACTTGGAAGAACTTCTGTGACTGGTGTACCTGTAAGGGTTTGTCTATCTTTTCTGTCACTATTCCAGTGATTCTTGAATACCTCATGGATGGAGTGGATAAGGGCTTAGCGCCCAATACCTTGCGTAGACAGGTGGGTGCTCTTTCCATGGTGTTCACCTGTGCCAACGCCACTCCATTGTCCCATCATCCCAGGGTCCGGTCCTTTATGAAAGGAGTCTCCAACACCAGACCTCCAATAGTACACAGGTATCCATCTTGGGAATTACCTTAGGTTCTGCAGGCACTCACTAGGTCTCCCTTTGAACCTATAAGGTCTTGTCCTCTTCACATTTTGTCCCACAAGGTGGCCTTCCTAGTAGCCATCACATCGGCAAGACGCATGTCAGAGCTGGCTGCCCTTTCAGTTAGGGAAGACCTGTGTACCTTCTATCAGGACAGAGTGGTGCTGAGGTTAGATCCCTCATTCATTCCCGAGATGAATACACTGTTTCACTGGGCTCAGGACATTGTACTACCAAATGTTTGTCCCAATCCTTCTCACACACTAGAAAAGCAGTGGCATTACCTAGATGTACATCGGGCATTGCATCATTACATTAAGAGGACAGCTTCCTTTCACAAATCAGAGGCATTGTTTGTTTCTTTCCACTCAGCTTCCAAGGGACAGAAGGTTTCCTCCTCTACTATAGCCAGGTGGATCAAGGTCTGTATCGCTCAATCTTAACAGGCTTACTCTTTACCTGTCCCAAGCCATCTGACAGCGCACTCTACTCGTAGCACTTCCACATCGGCAGCGTGGCAGACTCAGGCGTCCATAGAGGACATCTGTAAGGCGGCTACGTGGTCATTCTCTTCACCATTTGCCACTACAAACTCGACAAGTTTGCTTCCGCAGAGGCCGCTTTTGGCCATTGGGTTTTACAACAAGTGGTCCATTTCAGCACTGACACTTAACCAACCTGCTTCCCACCTGTGGGATCATAGGGGCTTTGGTATGTCCCATTCGTGGATTCTACATTCCTCTACATGCTGGAGAAGGGGCGTTGTCTTACCTGAACGTCTTTTCTCAGCATGAGGAATGTAGAATCCACCCCCTCCCTGATCATTACTAGCAGTTAGGTTAGTGTCAGCAGTTCGGAGCCATCACGTCACACAATCATTCGCTTCGCCCTTTTGAAACTGGGGCATGGTCAGACCCGGCAGAGGCGTGGCAACTTTGATTGTTTGGTCTGATTGGGCTAGAAGACTAAATCAACCCATTCGTGGATTCTACATTCCTCATGCTGAGAAAAGGCGTTCAGGTAAGACAACGCCCCTTCTAAAGTATTATAATCCCTTGCAGATGATGAGGATTTTTATTAGATCACTCAGTTTGGGTAATTTGTTCAGCCTGGGTATGATAGTATGCAGTGAGCCACAAATGATTAATTTGGTTCTGGTTTAACATGCTGTTGAAAAACTATGGAGTATGTGATTCATATAAATACGTGCAGTTTGTAGTGTTTCAGAGTTTGGAACGTACTGTTTTGATCTGTTCCAATTTCAGAAAGTGTTAACGATGATCTGTGCTTAATGAAAATCTTCTGAGCTCAAAATTTCTGGTAAAATCAGAATAGTGACAGGATAGTTTCTGTAGAATCGGAATGTTACTTTTGAAACTCTTCAATTTTTGAATTGACAAAACCCAAATACTTGATTTAATTTGGAAGTGGAAGGTGAATCTGAATCTACTTCCAATCTCATAATTATAGCATTAAACAAGACTGACTTTTCCAACATTTCTTGGGGTTCTCTACATTCTGAAGTCCTGCATTTGTAAGAAAGTTTTGCTGCCTGCATTTGCTGTGCATGGCAAGTTCTTATTTGACAATGTGGTCTTTAATTACTTTGACACCAACACAAAATGGGTTGGTTTGTGATTTTTTAAAACCCTAACCTCTGAAGTACAAAAAAACTCCAGTGGCTTATAGGGTTTTTACAGTATTTAGACAGTCCAGGGATTTATATTAAAGATGTTGGAAACAAACAAAAGGATTGAGAAAAATGATGGGAAGTAATTGCAAACCTGGAGGATTTCTTAGTTAAAATTCCATAATTGTCTGTTCTATTTATGGCACATTAAGCTGAAAGTTTGATTATTAAGAGCACTTGTTCCATTTTATTATATTGCTCCTTTTGTTTGCTGTTGTTTTTTTTTTTTAACTCTGTGGCTTTCTGCATTCTCTGAACCTGAAATAACTATGAAATAACTATGACTTGGTGTCTCATGAAACTCTGACTTGTGTGAAACTCTGAAAAATCTCAATTTGCACATATCCAAAATGTAATTACAATTTTGGTTCAAGAACACACTTTGATGGGAGTTAATTGGTATGATGTGCCATACTTACCAATATTTTTAAGCTTAGCTTGCCACAGAAAAACTACAGTATTGTACACCCAAGTGACTATATTTCTCTGCACATGATGGAACAAACTAAAAAAACATTTTAGTTACACAGCTAATTTATAATTCAATATATTGTGTGAACCCATCCAACTGGGACAATTGAGTAAATTGTGGTCATGGTAACCATGAAGAAAGCTTTGCCAAAACACATTGTGCATTACCAAGAAAACTATCTAGAGGTGTCCAATCACCAGAAATCCAATTCCCTCTTTATTTTTTAACCACAGGAAAGAATGTAATGGAAACTCAGCCAACAGGGTTTAATAACCCAAAAGCAAATAAAGAATGTTAAGAACACAGCGTGGTTTATCGCTAAACGTGCTTTAAAAACTTAGACAACTCTGATCTTTTAACTCATCCACAGTGAATCGAACTATGGTTTAGCACGAAAATGTTAACCCGGTTGAAGAACGGAAGCCACTTTCAGAAATAGCAACGAGGAAACCGTGCATAAAACACCTCTCTACCAGTGACTAAAGCACCGTCGCCGCCACCGCACGCTTCGGATGGCTGCACAGGAAACACATTCAGGTCACTCTGAGCCAAAGGCTGCTTCAATCGCTACCAGTGCGCAGGCGCAAAGCGCGACGCGCCTGCTCAGCAGTGCCTCGGTAGCTATTCTTTGCCTCGCCAAGATGAGGACCGCTTAGCTCCCTGAGGGAGAGAAACGGAGGCGGAGGCGAGATGGAGCCCCGGGCCTGGCCGGGTCCACAAACAGACGGACGGGGCGGCGGCGGGCCTTGAGGCTGAAGCGGGAGGCGCAGCCATCGCGGCTCTCTAGGACATGGCCACCGAGCCGCCTCGCTGTGTCGAGAACCGGGAGGCCGAGCGGTTAGACGGACTTCCCGGCTCGGCGCCGGCGGGCGCAGCGACAGCGAACGGGGAAGAGGTTAAAGCGACGGTCCGGCTCCTCGACGGCTGCGTGCCGCTTTCTCACCAAGTGGCCGGGCACATGTTTGGCAAGGATAAGGGCGGTAAGTGGCGGGAGGTGGAGGGAGAAGAGGCGAAAGTTTGACCCGCGGGGCTGTGCCTGTCGGCGGGCGGGACAGCGGTTTGGGGGGGCTCTAAATCCCCTCGCCGCGGTGTAACTTCCTCCGGCCTGCTGCCGGGAAATCATTTGCAACGGGGCCGGTACGCATCTAGTTCCCGGTTTTCCCGCCGGGTTACCTCATCTTTCTCTTGGGCTTCTATCCTCTCCTATTTCCCCGTTTTGCATTTATGCGTGTTGCAAGGTTTCATAGGGGAAAAGGACCGGGTGGATGGGAAGAGCTGCCCCGGAGGGCTGGGTGGGACCCAACCAACCAGCCAGCCCACTCTTTATGGCACGTCGCCTCGCTATTTGCGGTCCTAAACAGCTCAGGAGACAGCCTGCATGACTGACTGATTTCCTTTTGTGTACTAAACAATCCTGTCGGAGCGGTGAGAATGTGACGTGCAAAAGAAGGGAGGAATTTCATAGTGTTTCTGTTTCAGCTGATCCGGTGAAGAAGAGGCTGAGTTTTGTGAGGCGAGCAAGGTGGTTGAATAGGGACGTCCGGTTGAATTTCGTTGTTCTCCGGATCAGGAGGTGCCTGATACCAGCTTCTCTCACTAACACATTTTATTTTAGCTCATTCCATCAGATGCATAGTCTGGCTAAATTGATGTAGTGACTCTGCCACAGTGTGAAGGGATGACTAGAACTGTTAGAGAAATGGCAGAATTTCCCTGTTTCTCTGTCACTCATTTTGAGTGAGAAGCAGGTAGAGTCAGACAAATGTGATAAATGCAGAATAATTGCATTTTAGTCAATATTTTAATTGTTCAAAAAAGTTCCAAGCATTCAGTTTTGGTTTCCTAAGGGAACAGAACTTTAGGTTAATCTGTATTTTTTGTTTTTCCTTATCTTTTCCCTAGACTAGAGCATAGGTGTCAAACTCACCACATCATGTGATGTATTGCGACGTATCGCGACTTTTTTGCATTGCCGGAGCTGGGGTGGGCACGGTCTCTGTATGATGGAACCGGCCCAGGGGCCAGCAGTTGATACCCCTGCCCTAGAGTCTTGTTTATTCTAGGACTGAAGAAAGAGAGAAAGACAGAAGAAGAACAAGCTAGTCTATTTCTAATTGTACCTTGCACAATTAATGTTGTGACTTATGTGCTACATAGTAATCCATATCCAAGATAATAACTGATATTAGTACATTATTCTTTCAAAATATATGCTTCTCCCCCAACTATGTTTATATAACTAGCTTGCTCTGAGTGCTGCTGAGCAACTGGGTATTTTCTCTATGTAAGAGTTGCTGGTTATTTTCATGAGAAACAGTCCAACTTTTGATTGTGTCCCAAATGCAAAATTAATCCAAAAATGAAACAGAAAATTTGTTAATCCAAAATCAACAGAGGGATAGAATCAAGATCACATGAAGTGTTAGTACGGCTTTATATGGCATTGATAAGACCACACTTAGAATATGGCATCCAGTTTTGGTCACCACAATATAAAAAAGATGTTGAGACTCTGGAAAGGGTGCAAAGAAGAACAATTAAGTTGATTAGAGGGCTGAAGGCTAAAACATCTGAAAAAAGGCTAGGCAGGGCTATGGGGTCCTGGTGCCATGGGAGTTCAAAGGCCAGGCTGGGCACTTGACCTCCACTGCCCAGGGCTCCAGGCAGTCTGTGCCACCGTCCAAGGACCCCCTGCATGGCCTGAGGCTCAGTGAGCCTCCCCTAGTGGACCATGCCCCGGCGCTCGCCCTGGTCCTACCCCCCCTCCGCTGGAGACCCTCAGATCTGCCCCAGGCCCGCACAAGTGACCCTGACACAAGTGACGTCCTGCCCACCCAGTAGGCCACACCCACCCAGTGGGCCATGCTCATTCGGCACCTGACAATAAATAAGTGGGGTTTGGGTTGCAGTTTGGGCACTTGGTCTCTAAAAGGTTCACCATCACTACCCTAGTCCAACAACTTAATCATTAACCGAATTGGCTCTTTAATTTTTACACGCATAGTTAAAAAATAACCAAGGCTCTTATTTTAATATATGTATTATGATTATAAAAACACTCTTTGAACTCTAGAGAAAGCATAAAATTTTACAGATATAACTGATATAACAATATAATATAATGTAATTAATATAATATAATATAACAATATTGTCAAAGCAGCAGTGATTTGTGGTATTATTTCAATTTATAATTGTTGTGATACATATGATATTAACATTTATTCCTTCTCATAACTTTATTTTAAAAGATTTATACACAATAGTTTAACATTATCACAGAACTAGGATAATTCTGTTTTTGCTAGTTCTCGAGGAGATGGGGCAGGGAAAACCATGCAGAGCACCAGGCCGCATCTCTAATCAAGAAATATTTTCCAACTATTACTTTGGCATCTGAGAATTAAGAATCCATTCACTGTGCATTTTTAATCCTATCATAATCCCAACTGCCATAAATGTTTTTAAAGTTTTTAAAAAACCAAGCTGCTAAAATAGCTTAATTCCACAATCAAAACTATATACAAGGCTTTCATATCAGCCTGAATATAAACTTATTACTAATGGTTTGTAGTCCCTACAGCTACGCAATCCTGGCTGATTTCAAAAAGTGATGGTGAACCTTTTAGAGACCGAGTGCCCAGACTGCAACCCAAAACACACTTATGTATTGTTGGTGCTGTGTGGGTGTGGCCCATTGGGTGGGCATGGCTGCGGTGGTAACAGCAGACTGGGTGGGATTAAAAATTTCAATCAATCAATTCCAACTTTGCGAGATCTTTTTTTTTCCCGCAAGAACTTGAAATTGATTAATTGATTGAACCTTTTTTTTTGCACATGGCAGTGGAGACCTAAAGCGAAAAGATTTTATAAAACCCAACTGAAGGCCTAAGACTGGGGCAATGGCACGCGTGCCCACAGAGAGGGCCCTGCGTGCCACAGGTTCGCCACCACGGGATCAATAGAAAACATCAGAGCTGTAGGTTATACTGGAAGAAAAACTTATCCTAAAAACAGCAATGTTAGACTCCTTTTATATGGTTTCTAACATAAAATTCCTAACAACTGAAGTCAACGTGAAATAAATTTTATTCTTAAACAAAAATGGTGTCAATTTTTCTAGAGTCAGATAATTTAAACACATTCTGTTAGACAAAATACTGAGTCCAATCTAAGAAGAGTAGCCTAATAAACATTTCTTCTGGAGACTGCATCTAATAACGTTTTTATTTCAAATAGTGGCAATTTACTAATTAAAGTTCTTTCTAAATTCTTACTTTACAGTCTTCCATCTGATATACTGTAATTCTATAAAAATCAGGCTAGGAAAAATGGACAAAACAGCTTTAGAAGTTCTTCTAAATGGGCATGCAAGTCTTCTTTCATTTGTTGTTTTATGAGAACATTTCCAATAAACCCTTTTGAAGTTCACTGACTGTGAAAAACAACCAAGACTGTATCTTTAATAGCTCATTATTTTCTTCTTCCCATTCCCTGTTTTCATTCTTCCTCTTGGTCACTTCCACCCATGTCTAATTTTTATAAGACAGAAAGCACCCAGATAAAAACAAACCAACATGTTCAATTAACACATGTATACAGACCCTTCCATATTTTTTTTAAAAAAAGCATTTATCCTACATTTTTCTGCTTCCTGTAGAAACTTAGATCAGATATCTTTCCTAAACAAAACAACCATTTGTTATAATTTCTTCTGGAAAATTAGTAGCATTACTTTTGAAACCATTTTAAAAACATCATTGTGGGAGGCAGAGAAATAAGTAAATTTCCTGAAATTTAGAAGACCAAGCATAGAAGCAGGTTTCCCAGCAAACACAGCAAGGAAGTCATATAAGATAATGGAAAGAAAACATACCAGTCTATTATATCTATTAATATTAAAAAATGAAAATAAAAAAATGAAAATATATCTACTGTAAGTTATCATTTTATATTATAAATAACATGATAAACTGATGATAAAAGGCTAGAAGCAAAGACAAGTTTATATGTATTTCAGATCTTTAAATTTTCAATTATTTTTCTTTGTAAATTTTGCTAAAACAATTACTGTAATGATAAATTTCATGGAATTAGTATTGGGTTCATGCAAAAACTGTCAGTAAAGTCGGACTGCCTGAGAAGAAATAGAAAAATGGTCATCTTAGCCTATACTAAAAAAAATCAGAAAAAGTAGTACCCTTTCTAACTAAGGTTATTGAAAGGAAAAAGCTTTTGTGAGCTTTAGCTAACTTCATTGGATGCACAGAGTAGCTAAACTGAAAGATTTAAACTAGGATTGGAAAAATGGGGGAAGAAGGCTAGTTATGTACGGGTAGATGTAGGTTACATGTGAGTCAGATTACAAGTACTTATGATAACATCAAGAAAGTGATGTAGTCTGCGTAAAGGTGAAGTCTGGCTGCACTTCCCCGAGGGGGTGCCCAGCTGCGTTTACCTCCTCCTCAATGCTACTGCTTCTGTGCTCGCTCTCCTTGGCCAGGTTGCTTATGGTGAGTGCAGGAGAGCAAGTGAGAAGGAGGCTCACTCTCCTCCATGCAAGGAGACCTGGCTTTGTAACCAAAGTATCCTCAGCAATAGGATGGGAGACCACCAGGAGAAGGTGAAAGGGCAACAGGGCTGCTGGTGGCCATGTGCTAAGGCAGGACTTCCCTCAGATCCTCCCTCCCTCCCTCTTATTCCATTCTCCTTCCTCCCTCCCTCCCTCCCTCTCCTCCTTCCCTGTCTCCCTCCCTTTCATTCCCATCTTCTTCCTTTCCTTCCCTTTCTTGTTTCCTTCCCTCCCTCCCTCCCTCCCTCTCTCTGTGCCTAGGAAGTGATGAGGGGAGAGGGAGAGGTTGGCAGCACTTCTCTCAAACAAAAAGAGCTGGAAGAGACCTTTGAGGTCTTTAGTCCAAGCCCCTGCTCAAGCAAGGGACATATACCATTCCAGACAATGGAATATCCAATCTCTACTTAA